GACCTATTGAACTGTTATTTTTTACAACAAGAATACTGTATTATGTGTGTAGGCTTACTTGATTACTTGGTTATGTATACTTTAAGAAAATTTGTTAAAACAACGTAACGGCGTGGTCAAATGTCACTGTGGTAGAGCGAATGATGATAACCCGAAAGTCTCGAGTTCGGATTTGCTACCCGTCGTAAGTCCCTAGTACGTCCCTGAGGCCACCCAGCTTAGATGGGTACCTGACTCACGTTAGAAAAAGTAAAGGTGGCATAGCAAAGTGTCTGCACTGTTACATAGATCACAGAAACATGTGAACTCTACTTCATCTTGGTATCGCATTAACTATATATTATAACGCGTTATATTTTATAACAATACATGTGAATATGCTACCATTGTGTTATTGTATATACAAATAGTATTGTAGTTTCTGAGTCCTTTGCTTCTCAGCGACCACAAAGGAAAATTAAACAAAGGGAATTTAACTATACTAAAAATACTTCTTATGACACTCACAATGAACACTTAAAATGTATGTTGGGTACGATTAAGCAATGCTAAGCAATCCAGAACTTCTGTATCTAGTAAAAGTAAAGTCAAGTTATTTTCAAGACCCTAACGGTCCAAGTGACAAGTGAAGTAGAGTTGACCTGTTTCTGTGATCTCCACCAAGAGAAATGTGAATCTCAATGACGTCTAGTGAAGAAAGAGGTCCACGACAAGTAGTACAATCGAATCTACGCCGCACGATAAACGATATATTTGCGATTTAGAAATGTCCATGGCGTCATGAGGAAGATAATATGCTATCCACCCACCCACTCCACAGCCCATCAATATTATCCAGGTTACCACGGGGCTTGTTAAATGCTTGGAGAAATTACTATACTTACATCTTAATCTTTTATTGTTTTCTTTGTAAATCTTGTTGAAAAAAAGGTTTCATTGATATTTAAACATGTTTTTTTTTATTTTTTGAAAAGTCATGAGTACAAATATAAAGGCCGGTAACTTACTTTTATTTAGGTCAAAATCACGCCCAGGGGAGGGAACAATAGCAAGATATAATTAAAGGCGTTTGATGTCGTAATTTTTCACGATCGTTACCTAGTTTTCCCGTACCGCACTTTAACTCACTGCTTTTTTTTTTTGGGTAAATGGGACAATAGAATTTCATCATACAAAATGCAGACAAAACGTTAGACTTCTATTAAACTAATCGATCATTGTCTGTTATTAACTATATTCGCATTAACTGTTTAGGGCTATATAAGTTTCACGGCGATGTAATGAGAGGTGTAGTAAAGCATAAAGGACAAACAAACAAACAGACAGACAGACATAGATTGCTTTATATATATATATTTATATATAGATAGATAGATACATATGTAGTAATTAACTGGAGAAAGTAAAATAGTAGAACTAGACTAAAATAAGGTTTGCAACTCAGTTTCCTTTAACTGCTGTGTGAAAATCTCAATTTTTTAAAATTCAAAATTTAAGCAGTCTAAGGCTAAAGTGTTCAAGACCAGACTACCAATTGATTTATATTCAACTCTGCACACCAAAGATAAAATCGAACTTTTGTTATATTGAAGTTGAACAGCTAATTAAATTTATCGGAGATTTAGATTAGGGCAGTTTGGTAATGGTCTAAGTAAAAATTATCGACCGTTAACCTGAATTAATGAACTTATTATTTCCCCTTTTATTAAACAGACGTTTTCTCTTTGTTCCTTGAAATTTACATCATGGATTTTCTAGACGTACTATTGTCATCGAGGTCATTAACTAACTACATGTACTTTAATACATAACAAAATTGCCATTGCGCTATATAGTTATTGTGTTGTTGTTTATAACGATGGCAAATATTTCTTATAAATTTGCTTACTTGGCACTACACATGGGCATCAAGACCTACAGCCTTAAATGATTTCATAACTTTGAAGAAAAAAAAAACTTTATAAACAAAGGTTTTTATAATCTTGATACCATGAATTACTAACCACTCTATCTAGTTATCATTCATTCACTAAAGTTTGAAACTCAATTTTTTTTTTTAAAAGGTTTATAGACCAAAATGACAAACCAAAAAGACGTAATATATATACATACATATATATATATATATATATATATATATATATATATATATATATATATATATATATATATATATATTCAACATAAAGTCATACGTGCTGTCACATGCAATAAGGAAGTATTACTTCTCATAAAAACAGTTTCACATTCTTAAGTTATCAAACTTCAGTGACTGCAAGAGTTAAAATAATGTAGCATAAGAAAAAAAACCGGCTGATAATTCCTCAGCAAATACCAAGGAATTCATTTCGCATTGATTGCCCGTTTTAAGCCAAGAAGCGACCTGACAATGACAACCGAGCTGTACGTAGCTATCGCAGCCTCGCTACTTTAAGTATGGATTCTTTCTTTCCAGAAGTTTCCCTCAGAGTCACGTGATATTCTATGCGGAGTTTCCCGATACGCACGGGGTCGCTGGTTCATTGGGACGATGCAATAAAATCCAGCGAGCGAGAGTTGAGTCGTTTTAGAAATGACGTCATCAAATCTTGCGTACTCGTTATCACGGGGGCAATGGAGTGAACTTTGAGATAATTCCTTATCGTAAAAGAGAAGGAAAGATGGATATTGTTTTTGAAAGCAGCATTTCAATTAGAGATTTGTTGTAGGTTATTTTTTTTTTTGTGATTTCAAGGTACGAATAATATAATGGTGTGGGGGAGAGGGGTAGCACTTCTATCATAGATTAACACAACTTTATTTTAATTGTGGGTTAATAGATGATCCGTCTTGGTTTAGAAATGTGTAGCTAACACCAATGTATCACTGTATACGGACTTTTCATTCTCACTCTTAGACTATATGGTAGAGGAAGTAGAATCCCATAACACCATTATTTACATTAATCTCTGTACAATGTTTGTTTAGGTTCCATTAACATCAATATTTAAAGGAAGCTAATTAAAAATATGTCCTCACTAATACAAATATTACCGCCATTTAAGATTTAGTTGTTACTTTCAATAGTAAATATAAACGTAAAATGTATATTTATTTCATGGTATATCGTTTAACTAACACACAAGTTTCGAGTCCATATGTCCTTTGGACGTCCCTGAGTCCACCCAGCCCTATGGGTACCTGACTTTTATTAGAAATAAAATTAGGCGATATAGTGTTAACCACATCATCCTTTCATTCGCAATGATCCAAGCAGCGAGCCTTACGTTATACATTTCTTTTACTTATATAACTCACTCCCCTCCATACAAAATTAATACAATTTCAATAGAACATAACGATACATGTATTTACAAACAAATGTCAAATCACATTTAAAAATAACACCGAAACGTATATTCTACTTAAAAAAAAAAAAAAAACTGGTGAAAACACACGCCTCCATCCTTCCACCCCTCCTTAAATATGGACTCGTCTGCACGTGTTGGTCAAGCACAAACGACGGTTTGAGCTTTGTGCACTTCCTATCGATGCAAGTCGCGTTCAAATATCTGGTGCACTTACGTGCAGAGCCGTGTCTAGGGAAATGTGCACTGAACTTTCTACAAAGGAACTCTGTCAAAACACCAGACTTCTACGATCAAAGAAAAATGATTGCATACAAGTTTAATATATTTTAAAATTTGATGTTTACTAAAATTACATATATTATGGTTATCTTACATACGTAAAGATTTAATCTATTAAAACAACATACATGTTTTAGTGCTAAATATAACGATTATATAATAAAAAAAAAGTTTTAACTATCTTTATAAGAAGATTCGTGTGTTTCACAAGCGAAGCAAAATCTCATTTTTAGAGCTGATTTTTCACGGGGTGCATAAAGTAGTGCTCGTTTGTTAATGTGAACTTGGTATTTGAAGGTCTTGATTTTTGGTTGAAACTATAATTTCTATTTTACCTGACAAATACTAATTAGCACACCGGATATCTAACTTGTGGGGCCCGGAGACCCACCCCCACCCTTATGGGTCGGTGCTTAATGTCTCCAACGTGTGCACCAGCTTATGACGAGTACTACATTCTGCACCCTTTTTTTGAGATTACTCAAATCTAAACGCCAAACCTTGTTTTCAGTTCAATTGTAGGGTCGGTGGGTCTCTTAGCCCCGAGTCAAGATTCGACCCGAGATGGAAGTGATTTCCCCTTTAAAGTTCACATCACTGTTCCGTGTTCGAGTCCCGGGGAGCCGAACACCTTCGGGCGAGTTAGCATTATCGTAACCTTTTAGCGTCGGCGTTAAATGTTCCCGCTTCCTGCAAATACACGGTGAAAAGGGGAGGGAAGGAGGGGGAATATTTACTTCAATGAATTAAGATCGAAATAACGTTGTATGAAGTATGTAAGTCATATAACTTGAGTGATCTATAAAAAAAAGCATTGTGCGCTAGCCCGAGGCCCCATTAAGTTCACCCCACCCTGTATTATATAGTTTAAATCTCCTAAATAAACATATTATAATGGCATTATATTAGAAAACATGACACCTAAATAAAAATCGAATAAGTTATGAAGTTGAATCGCCGAGTTTAAGCTCTTATTAAACCTGAGGCTAGTTCAAACCGTGTGTCCCTTGTCTAATGCAAAATTAACAATTAGATGTATATATGTCATTTGCCGTCAGCAGATCTAAAAATAAACGCATTTAATTTTTTTTAAACTGTAATTATCTGCTATTGTTTTAATCATGCCTCGCGCCCTCATTAATCTGCGCTTTAAAAAAATCTAATCATTGATCGAACCTTGTTATGAAATCATGATTACAATTAGAAATAAAACTCTCTAATTACCTGCACTTGTTCATAATTAATACTCCGCAAAATATGAACGCAAAAAAAAAATATTTTAAAAAATGTAGTTTTTTTTTTTTAAATTATAAAAAAGCTACAATACCAGACATATTTTTTATCATTAATTAATATCCTTTATGTCCTCAGCCATGTGATTAAAGTGTCCAAATTTTTCATCTGTTGAAATACAACATCACGGAAACTTCAACCCTTCATCAACATTTCCTCGCATTAAAACACGGATGTTGTTAGTTCCTTGTTCGTCACGTATCTCATGCTCCAAGAATAAACCTAGAAAATTGACCTCTCATCCACGGTCCTAGTGATACCATCTCGCCGGTGAAATCTAAATCCTAAACCCCGGAGTCAACTGCCGAATCTAAAGACACAATGTCCAACACATACGACCCCAATATAGACAGCAAAGAACCGTTTATTCAGAAGAACTTCAACAGCGCTGGAAGCTCAAGTACCGCGTTCAACCCCAACGCCAACGCCAACAACGGTAACAATAACCTTCACAGTAACAGCGTGGCGAACGGCCACACGAAAAACAATATGGAAATTGAGTACCAGAATCTGCTGAGCACAGTCGCCAAACTCCGAACGTGGTTGTTCGCTATCACTGGAGTTGCCATCGCCGGTTTCGTTATTCTAATCATCGTCGTTACGTGTTTGTACGCGACCTTGAACTATGAACTTGCTCACCACAATCACAAGCCGAAGATTGGGGAGCAGATCTCGAGCATGTTGGAGAGGGAGGAGCTGTGTTTGCCGTGTAATGACTTCCGGTTGGGCCCGAGTCAGCAGGAGAAGGACATGCTGACGAGGTTCACCCAGAAGGACACGGAGACTGGGCTAAGCTGCTGTGTGGATACCCCTATGGAGCTCATTGATCTACTCAAACTGGTGAGTCTGTGTGTTTGTGTGTGTGTGTGGGTGGGTATGTGGTTCTTTGGGTGTGTGTGTGTGTGTGTTTGTTTGTGTCGGTGTGTGTGTGTGTGTTTGTTTGTGTCGGTGTGTGTGTGTGTGTGTTTGTGTGTGTGTCGGTGTGTGTGTGTGGGTGGGTATGTGGTTCTTTGGGTGTGTGTGTGTGTGTTTGTTTGTGTCGGTGTGTGTGGGGGGGGTATGTGGTTCTCTGGGTGTGTGTGTATGTGTGTTTGTGTGTGTGGGGGAGGAAGGTATGTGGTTCTCTGGGTGTGTGTGTATGTGTGTTTGTGTGTGTGGGGGAGGGAGGTAAGTGGTTCTCTGGGTGTGTATGTATGTGTGTTTGTGTGTGGGGGAGGGAGGTATTTGGTTCTCTGGGTGTGTATGTATGTGTGTTTGTGTGTGGGGGAGAGAGGTATTTGGTTCTCTGGGTGTGTGTGTATGTGTGTTTGTGTGTGGGGGAGAGAGGTATTTGGTTCTCTGGGTGTGTATGTATGTGTGTTTGTGTGTGGGGGAGAGAGGTATTTGGTTCTCTGGGTGTGTGTGTATGTGTGTTTGTGTGTGGGGGAGAGAGGTATTTGGTTCTCTGGGTGTGTGTGTATGTGTGTTTGTGTGTGGGGGGAGGTATGTGGTTCTCTCTCTCTGTGTGTGTGTATGTGTGTTTGTGTGTGGGGGGGGAGGGAGGTATGTGGTTCTCTGGGTGTGTGTGTGTATGTGTTAGTGTGTGTTGATGTGTGTGTGTGGGGGGGAGAGGGGTATGTGGTTCTCTGGGTGTGTGTGTTTGTGTGGTGGTTTGACTTTCGGTCTTTTTTATATAAGTCTGTATGTCTGTTATTACGTATGTCTATGCTTAACTGTATGTTTGTTGGTCTATATGCCAATCTGCCTGCCTGTCTGTCCATATATATGTCATAAATTTATATCTCCCAATACATCAATACGGCTGTCTATACGTCTGTTTTACATTTCTTTTCTTGTAAAATCCGCCGAGAACCCTTTTTTATGGCGCTAATAGATTTGTCCTGTTGCAGATAGCTGAAACAAAGCAGCTTTATGTTATTTTTTTTATTAAAGGATTATTTTTTCAATTATGATTTTTTATTTAAATATTCTCGATCTATATTTTAACAATATTGTTAGTTTTAGTTTAGTAGCTTAAATATATTTTAGTGACAAAATAGAACATGAGAGATATAGTGTTTTCATCCTTGTCAGGAAAAAATATACATCAACATATATATATATATATATATATATATATATATATATATATATATATATATATATATATATAATCATTTTCGAAATGTAATGTTTTAACTGTTAGTAATAATAGAAAATGACACAAAATGCGTAAAATGATTGGAGATACATTCTTAAATTTTCAATGTCCACTCGTTCCATTGTTTACAACCATTTGTTTTTCTTTAAGCCATGCGATACACAAATCTTTTGTTCCAATCGTGTCAGCCTACACACGACACCGAGGCTAGAGTTTCCCCTAAGATTTTTGTCCTGTAAAAGCCAGGCCTATCACTGTGTGGGAAATGTCTAAACACGAACCCGGCACTTTTCTATCGATTCGTCGCGCTGATAAGCACCCAACATCTAACCGACTTAGCCACGGTTGTAATTCTTAAACATCAGAGAAAGAGTAAAAAAAAAACAAAGAAATCATGCCGAAACCGTAGTGAAATAATTAATTATAAAAATCTAAAATAAGATTAATTTATTTCTTCTTAATCGTATTAAATATGAATTATAAAATCGTTACGTAATTGATCGTTTCGGTTTCTTAAGGTTAAATATAATTTCTAATTTCTTCCCCTAATCCCTGCGTGATTTGACTCAACTCTCTGCTGAAGGAAATTTATCGACAGCGAGATTGGATATATTTCCTCATTTCGTTTGAAGTTAACCACGAGGAAAATCGATGGACGGAGTAATATTATTTTATGAAATCTCTCTATAACCAAATTCGCTTATTTCCCCTTACATAAAAAAAAAGCTAAGAGGATTAGAGGAATGTTCAATATTTCTCTTTTGTTGTAGATTTTAAAGGGGAAGACAAAGGCTTAATGAAGCTTAATGGTTAGAATCTGTTCAAATTTTCAAACAACATGCAACATATAATAATTCAACCACATGCGTATAGCATAAACAGCTTTACATATTGACCTGGAATGCTTTACTTATAGATTAACGTCAGTCAAACAAATATTATACTCGATTGTGTACAAGACACATTAAATATGTTAAAAAAAATGATGTAAAGAAAAGGGAGTTTACAAATCTTATTCACGTATTAAAATACTGCGAAATATTATTCTAAAGCATTCACAAAATATTTACGTGCGAGTTTTGTGACATTTAACATGAGTGTTCTATCTTCTACTAGAGCGAATAAAAGTATAGGTACACATTGATTTTACACACTGCATTTGTCTCCCATATAGTCGACATGTAGCTTTAAACCTTAAAATGGGAAGCAACTGCATTATTTTAATGTATTCGTTCCCACGGAATATTGAAAGATGATGATGTTTAATTCTTATTTTAAATATGTCTTGTCAAGTAGATGGTAATAACGTATAATAAATTCCCCTCGCTTTCTTCTAACCATAAATAATGATCCCCAGTTTATATAGAAATATATTTAACGTTGCATTATTGTTTTTCATAAGATTTACAAGCTCAACGAAATATATCATTATATACCATAATACAACAAAATAACATTTTTGAGAGAATTTATCAACCCATCATATATATTATGAAAAAAAAATCTATTAAAATCAGTACATGAAATATATTTCGCGCTAGAAAACAAATAAAACGAAGCCACCAAAATCTAAAATTCCCTATATGTATATAAAATCAAGCATATATGTCTGCATTGTTGATGCCCGTGGCACAACACAACGACACATACACACGCCACCATACAATTAAACACCTACACAGGTGTAAAAACCTGACTCACAGTCTCACGCGCTGAGCGAATGAGTACGTTGATGGAGCCCTAACTGAGCATTACACGGAACAAACTAGCACATTTTAGGGTTAAAATCGATAATCATGGAGGTAAAAAAAAACCTGATCTTAACTTTCAAGCCTGCGGCGACATTTGTATTTGGGTACAGCTAATATTTTATTCAAGGATGCGGTACACACGTTTAGCGGAAAGAATACGTTAGATGTATGTGTTTGAGTTCTATAAGGTCGAGTAAATACGGAGTTCGGAAATCGATTTTGTTACTAGGAGCAGTGATTACTTAATTGAACTTACTTTGCTTCATCTAATGTCTTACAGAGAAGTAATTACAATTTGCAACAAAAAGCTTCATTCTATTTATGTAATTATTGAATTGTCCATTCCTTTGCTTTGTGTATGATGTGTATAGTTTTTGAGAATTTGGATACAACTTCGATATATATATATATATATATATATATATATATATATATATATATATATATATATATATATATATATATATATTGTTGTTGTAATGAGTACTCAACTATTTGAAGTCCACACAGAGTGACTAAATGGCTCTCGACGAGTATTATAAAATAAACTACTGAACTATTAAAAACAATTTAGATGTAGAGCATAATTTGAATTCAGAGCTTTTTAAACTTGAACATGACAAAAAAATTTAATTAAACGTTTCTGTCGGATTCCTACAAGCTATAACTCTTCTTATTATACTTCACGGCGATATCATTCAAGAGAGCAAAAATTGTGATAGCGTTGACAAGGGAATATAATCTTTTAAAGGGGGTGGGGTCGGTGAGGAGGTAAGAAAATAGCTAGAGAGAACGGTCGAGAGATTGAGTGGGAGAGATAGATGGAGAGAGAGAGAGAGAGAGAGAGAGAGAGAGAGAGAGAGAGAGAGAGAGAGAGAGAGAGAGAGAGAAAGAACAAGAGAGGCATTAAAAATGGCTTTGCCGTGCGCGCCTTCTGTATTAGATTAAAATATGGACTTTAAAAAAAAGTAGGGAAGAAATATTAATATCGTACAGAATGTGCCAGATTTTTTTGTCTTCCTTCCTGGCAAGTTATTACACTCGGTGTGTTCGTCGCGTTGAGGGCGTTAGTGTGTTGGGGTAGTGAGGAGAGTTGGGGCGTTAATGTGTGGGGGTAGTGAGGAGAGTTGGGGCATTAGTGTGTGGGGGTAGTGAGGAAGTTGGGGCGTTAGTGTGTGGGGGTAGTGAGGAGAGTTGGGACGTTAGTGTGTTGGTGGTAGTGAGGAGAGTTGAGGCGTTAGTGTGTGGGGGTAGTGAGGAGAGTTGGGGCGTTAGTGTGTGGAGGTAGTGAGGAGAGTTGGGGCGTTAGTGTGTGGAGGTAGTGAGGAGAGTTGGGGCATTAGTGTGTGGAGGTAGTGAGGAGAGTTGGGGCGTTAGTGTGTGGGGGTAGTGAGGAGAGTTGGGGCGTTAGTGTGTGGAGGTAGTGAGGAGAGTTGGGGCGTTAGTGTGTGAGGGTAGTGAGGAGAGTTGGGGCGTTAGTGTGTGAGGGTAGTGAGGAAGTTGGGGCGTTAGTGTGTTGGGGTAGTGAGGAGAGTTGGGGCGTTAGTGTGTGGGGGTAGTGAGGAAGTTGGGGCGTTAGTGTGTGGAGGTAGTGAGGAAGTTGGGGCGTTAGTGTGTGGGGGTAGTGAGGAAGTTGGGGCGTTAGTGTGTGGAGGTAGTGAGGATAGTTTGGGCGTTAGTGTGTGGGGTAGTGAGGAAGTTGGGGCATTAGTGTGTGGAGGTAGTGAGGAGAGTTGGGGCGTTAGTGTGTGGAGGTAGTGAGGAGAGTTGGGGCGTTAGTGTGTGGGGGTAGTGAGGAGAGTTGGGGCGTTAGTGTGTGGGGGTAGTGAGGAGAGTTGGGGCGTTAGTGTGTGGGGTAGTGAGGATAGTTGGGGCGTTAGTGTGTGGGGGTAGTGAGGAGAGTTGGGGCGTTAGTGTGGGGGTAGTGAGGATAGGTGGGGCGTTAATGT